CAATAAAGTCTCAGATGCTAGTGCTTTAATCTTATTATTTATTTCTCTGGCTAAGTTAATAATAATAATAATTTTGTGAAATATCGTTATGAAACCATATTTGACAAAATTAATGGACATAGAAAAATTACTTCACCGCAAAAATTCCAAAATTTTCAAAAAAATAACGGAATCAAATAATTATTTCCCGTGTTTTTCACAGCGTGGCGGTCGTTGCAAATATATAAAGAAATATATAATACGGATAAGAAAAAATACCAAAGGACAAACAGAGACACACCATAGATCCAGAACTAATGAAATCTCAAATTAGTTATTAAGGAAAAAGAATTTGACAATTTAAATAAGTAATAGAAAAAGGTAATAATAAATAAATGATATGAAATAAATTATTTCACCAATTTTTCTTTTTATATTTGGCACATATTGGTAAAGTTAACAAACATAGTAAAATGATTCAATCTCAAATCTCCAAAAAATTCACAAAAATAACAAAAGCAAATAATGATTTTCAATTTTTTTACCTGTTATTACCGTAGAATATGGAAAGAGATAAATTAGGTGTGTCCTGGCCATCATGCAACCACATCCGTTATTATTAAAGTGATCACAGACGAGCTGAATATAAAGCTTCTCATGCAAAATAACATACAACATTAAGACTCAAGCCAACTGCTCATTTAGGATGAAGGACATATTTCTGTATTTTAACACCTTTCCCCAAAAGGAGTGAACAATCATTGCAGAGAATAATGAAATGTTTGAATTTCTTCTAATGTGCCTACATCGTTGCTAACGTTGGATATTTTTGCACTTTTTCACGCAAATAAATTCCCCAAATATTTTTTGTCTTATTTTGTCATCCATAGGATTGTTTTTATCATCAGTTTTTCTGGTTAATGAGTAATTGGAAAAACTTTAAATTAAATTTAAGACTCAGTTGGACTACACCTGGAAGTCGTGAAATGTATTTTGTCTTAACTGAAAGATAAATTTAAGTAGCACACTGATACTTAGAGACCACATGTCGGAAAACCTACAAACCAAAGTCGAATATAGTCGAAGTCGAATATTCTTTCCTAAATAATCCCGGTTGCCCGTATGGTCAATTGCTTGTCATGAATATATCGTGGCAAGCTGTTTTTTGTAGGGACATTTCCAACGATGAGCACATTCCTTTCAGAAATTATTATGTTGTGACAACCCACTTTTTGTACAGACACTTACATATTACACATTCCAAAGGGCTCATACGTTTCTTTCTAAAATTATTATACACGTAGTTCTTAAAATCTGTGCTGTATATTGCGCATTTGTTATAGCAAACTCTTCTCTTGCCTATGCATTTACTGGTCTTATACATTACAAACTTTGAAAGATATGCTTTTCTAAGCATATATTTCTGTAGTTATGAATATACCATCATAATATGCATCGCAATCTAAGTGCTTGACCTTCTCTATTAATTTCAAATACTTTTTGAACTCACATCTACATCCTCGTACATATTATCTCAAAGCAGAAATTTCACTTAGTTGTATTATAGTGGCAGATCGCACAAAAGCTTAATGTAAAGCGTCTTTCTTTTCTTTTGGAGGAAAATCTGAGTGGCAGAGATTGCTATTCCACTACCGGTAGGATTCTCCTTGATGGTTGGAGGGGAAAGACAATGCTAAATATATACCTGTCGCAAAGTTTCTGCATTATATTCTCATTACTTTCGGCCTTTCTTGTACATACTAGTAATATGAAAAAATTCTTTGCAAATTCTAATTTTCAATAAAAACTGATCTTTGCTATTGTTAAACTATTTTTCTGCTTACTGCCGTGTAGGCGAATACAACAAAGTATAATAATTTTTTGATTTGTAAGAAGACTTTTTTAGCAAATAGTAACACTTCTTCTACCTTAATAAGTTAACCATTCATAAATTTATATATATTTCAGCTTTAGTAAAACAGCCTGAATAGAATACAAGTTCGATTAATTGGTTTTAAGTAACAAGACAATACGTCTAAAAAAATGAAAAAAAGAAAACGAAGTAAGGAAGTTATATTCGGCTCCTTTCGAATCGTTTATACCCACCAGTCTTTTTCTAAGAAGAATACATAATAGAAATGAAACTTACGTAGTCTAGATTGCTGGATGGATATCTATCTTACGATATCAGTAATGATCAGAAAAACAGTTTTTTTCCATTCGAAAACAGGGGTATTATAAGCTTATGTTGCAAAGAAGTTGTGTTTCTTCACTGACTTGATCAATTTTCAATACCATGCGTGAAATACCTTCCTATGCTTTTACCAAACTTGCAGCCGATGTCTTATTTTTAGTGATCAGGAGAAGGATTCCTCTACAAAACCTATAGAAACTGAGAGACGGAAAACAGACATGCCTTAATGGACCCTGTATTTGATACTGATCAAAAGCATATATTCTTCGTAGGCTCTCCAACGATTCCTTCTCGGTGTTGCAAACGTTCTTAGAAGAGAACTAAACTCAACACCCTGTAGAACAGGGTGAGCTTGGCCGTTTTTTTCAATTTTTTACTGGAATTGCTATCAAGATTATCCTAATAATCGAAAGAAAACTTTTATCGTAGTGATTTATTGGTAACAAATAAAAAAACCAAATTTTTTTGCCTTTGTAAACAAAGGTACTCTCAATTTACATGATACTTAATACATGGTATACTTTCAAAAGCAAGAACTTACAGTGTTCATGATAAATTTGAAGTCCATATCTTCATTCTTATACAATGCACATTGCACAGGCAGGCACACGGATATACTTAAATCGGTTTGGATGGAGTCTCTAAAGCTTCTTTCGGCACGTTGCATACGTTTCGATAAAATGAATAAACCCCCTTTCTTTGGTGCTGATTATAAAATCGATCACTTTGCTTATCTGTTGCAGAAAACAAGAAAAAAATTATTCTCCGGTATATAATTTGAAAATTTTGTTATGCAGAATTACTGTTTTGGGAAGATAGCAAAACTTCTTTGTTAAATAGTGCTGGCGTAACCATCGGTATTTTCTTCCCTTTTAAGTTGGCAGCACAATCTGCCATCTATATCAAAGTTTGTGCCAACACAGTCTGCAATTAATAAAATATCTCACCTTCAGCTTCGCTTGAAAAGTCTACGCAAGGTGGAATTGGTGTTAACTGTTGATATAATTTTTTTTTTGCGGTCAGCACTTGGTGCTCTTGTCAAAAAATCTCTTTCTCCCTTTAAATTCGTGGCTATAAACTTTGAATGTTTCAGGCGGATGGTTTTTCGTCTTCAAAGTCGATATTTAAATAACTTACCGACGGTGGATCATCAAATCTATAATAAGCTTTGTTGGAAATTCCAGATTGGAAGTTAATTTGTTGTTTGCTCTACTTTGCATCACATGTATAAGACGTCACTTTGTGATTTTCCGTTTGCTGCTTGACCTAGTTTGTTGTCTCTTTCTAAACACTACCTTGTTAATTTACTGAACCTATGATCTTTCTCAGTTACAGTGCTTTAAAATTGCAAATCTTGTGTGATATTTTAACTAAATACTTTCATAAATTTTTTTTTTTCTTCGTAAATCCTATTTTGTTTGTCTTCCTTTTTTGGTATGTTTATTTACACCATTTTTTGCCGAAAAATAGTCCCGAATTAGATCACTTCATCACTTGCGGGCTTTGTGAGCGTTACTGCCACGCACAGTGTGAGTATTGCTGCTCGAGCTGCAGACGGAGTCTTGGATACAAAGCAAGGATTACGTTAGTCGTGTCCCGACAGCAGAAAGCAACGTATAGATTTATAGAAACTATGCAAAAAAAGGTTTTTCGGAAAACGGTGAAGAATTCGCGACATTGTTTGGAAAATCGAGAAAATTAAAAGGATGTTCAGTGAGCGTCGATACTTAGAGTACTCAATTTCTTCGCAAACTCAAAAAGTTCGTCTTGCATAGGTTCGCCCATTTTGGTCAAATGCCTTCCTTACCGTTAACAATGGAACTTTCATCATCAAATCTGGTAAAGTATCGAGCGCTTTATGCTTGCCTTAAAATAATATCAACATTTCGCCCATCGCAAACTTAGCTAATGGCATGTCTTCATATCAGCGATGCTGATGTCAGAAGGAGTTTGCCATTGGCCCATTCAGTCCAAATCGGGGGAAAATATAACAATAAGGCCTCCTCTCCACCTAGTTCTTCCAGTGCATCTGCATATTGTTGTTAATCTTCACACTTTTTATAAATTTTTTAACTCCGAAGGAAGAATGCCCATATATCCCTTCTGTATATCTTGTAATGGTCCCGAGTACTCTAGTAATATTGAAACCTTGAATCTCTTTGCTGAATACATTCGTCGAAATTTCGCTACCGATTTCTGATTCCGATTTAACTAATAATTATTCATTTAAAATCATGTATTACAAGGTTTAAGGCCGCTAAAATACAGTTTTCGCCTGCGTCTGCTGGTAATCCATCATGTATAGTGAAGTCATACTCTGGAGAAGTAGTTTCCTGGTTCTACTTTACAAATGCCGAAACAGGCATGAGGACTGTGAAGGCATTGCCAAATTGAGTGTCTTACCTAAACTGTTTCAACGAATTGCTACACACAATTTAGCTTTCGCTATCAAACCTTACATTTCTCCATTTCAGGTGGTTCTGTCGCACCTGTAGAAAAGTAGAAAAATCGGCCACGCTTACACAATGTTACAAGGGATTACTTTTTTTGATGTTTTCTAATTACTACTGATAGGATAAAGAAGAGAGAACATTGAAAGTAATTCTACACATTCGTCACATGAAGATATATTATTTGTTTGCAAATTCGTTAATTCTGAAATAAATGCGGTAGACCCCAGAATTGCAATGCAGAATTGGTTGCTTCTTAGTAATACAGTCAGTTGGGGGTCCGATTAAGAGGATTTGAAAAGTAAAACACGACAAGTTATTTGTTTTAAGTCTAGATTATATGCCACGGCCGCCAAGCCGTGGTGGATTAAGTTTTTCTTCACAATTCAGTTCATAATGATATCAAATAAAAATAGTTGGAGAATAGAATGCGACAACCTAAGTGTGTGCAACGTCACGACCGCATACGATGGATAACGGTAAGGAATATAGACGGTTCGGTCGCGGCTTATTTTTTTCTTCACTTTTTTTACCTTTTTGTAATGCTTATTAATAACACTTAGCATAAGAATTAATTCAGCTGTCAATTTATTTTAGATGAATTTTGTATATGAATAACTAAATAAATAATTATAAATTTAGTGAACTCCGTCTAAGAAACAGCTACTAATGTAGCATAAAAGAGTGTTCTATCATGAAACGTAAATGCCTTTTCAAAATTGATCGCATCGCGCTAATCGACACACCAATAGTGTCAACACAATTAATAATTTCTGACCACAAAAGCTTTGACTTTCTTAAAGTGGTATACATAGACAGACGTCTGACGACGGCTAAAATGTTTATGGTTGTCAGTGCTTTCTTTGCTTTCTCTGAACCACACTTAAGATTATTAAAATTGGAGGAGATACCTGAGCTTAAAGGAGCTTTAGCTCCTTAGGAGTTTAGCTATTGCGTTTAGCTATTAGCATTTTTTTACTTACACACCAATCCAGTCTTTCTTTTTTGTTGGTCATTGGGATCTTACAGATCCGTGTCATCAATCTTGCTAGCTTAAATTTTAAGACACAGTAATAATAGAATAAAAGAAATGCCTGAAAAGTTTCATGTCTATATATATTTCAAGCTAAAGTTGAAATTTTCGATCTGATACATACAACTTAAATGTATTTGAAAGTCCTTCAAAGTACATGTCGGTTACAAAAAAAGAATAGATGCTTAATTAAATCAGTAAATGATTGATATAAATACATTTCTCAAAAGTTTTTAATTTTTTGCAGATATTTTCATCATTCATTCTTCTTACCGGTTCGTCGAAAATTTCTTTCGAAAATTGGAAAAAGAATCAGCAAAATCAGCGAATCCAAATAGTTTAGCGAATAACTATGATTTAATAATTTTCTATATGTACAAAAGGCATAACTTATAATAAATAATAGTAGGCATTCCATAATTTCAATACACTAATAGAATGTCCGAGTATATGTCGATTGAAATGGGTACAGTCGATAGGCCGCCAAATCGTTTCCAAGTGAATCCAGTTAATCATAAAAATAACAATGATAAAATGATAACAAAGGATAGCACCAATAGTGCGGTTTCTGAAAATATTATTAACGATAGGGCACCACATGATGTGTACCGGCGCTTAACTGGAACTGACGGCGAACCCATTGAAGATGACACTTTTAACGAGGATACCTCGCAATTAAGAAAAGCCCAACAACAACCACGTCACCAAAGGTATGTAGGAAAATATAAAAATTTTTAATACATAGATAATAGGTATAAAAGACAATGATATATATTCAGTGAGTGTTGTATACGGCTTTACAAATTTAAATGTTTATAGCAGCCGGATAAACTTCGATTGTCAAATATTGAACAATTGATTTTTTAGTTATATCATATTAAGTTTTCAAAACCATAGATGCTATACAAATGGAATATCGATCGTAATTAACTTAATTTACATGTGCTCTTGATTAAGGTTAATATCGGATTTAAAGTAACAATGTCCACCTGATTTTTTGCTTTTTAAAGTCATGATAATGAAAATGTTGCTTATATTGCTTTATATTTAACATGAAATTCAAAATTTTTCAACATATAAATTACTTCATCCTTACTTTTGTACTGTATAATAATACTTCGCTATAGGGATAAAGTGAATCCAGGAATACCACAAAGCGCCAAATATAGCATTGGACGATCAGTTCTCTAGAATCATTCCAAATTGACGTGATCACAAAGAATTACGTATTAGAGAATCTCTAAATGTACTTCTTTAGAAAAACTTTAATAAATTGGAATTAAGAAATGAAAAATGACTTTGTGGTGTTGTCTATTTTATTGTCAGCCGGAATTGATCCTTTTTCCGCCAGTTTCAATCCATCAGCTAATACGGCTTTTTCTGCGTTGTTTACTTTTATAAGTCATTTAAGCTTTCTATAACGTTGTTGCAAAGGGCTTAATATGGACTCGATCCTTAAAACCATATAGAAACATGTTGTCATATCTCGAGGAACATACTGAGGTATATTTCCGTTTCAAGTTAGTTTGTAAGCTTGCATATTTTGCATACTCCCCCAAAATATATCTTCCCAGGCTTTATTTGCCGAGTAGGTCTTTTGAGCTACTTATAGACCAAGGAGTTATAAAATGGTACCATAGACTAATTCATCTGGTACATAACCAGTATCAGCGTTTATTCAACTGCTCGGACCAAGTAGTACTATTGGCAAAGCATCTGTACAATGTATATCAGTGTTACGTTTAAAAGAATTTTTCAAAGTTCGATGTCGTTATTAACTGACTCAACAGTCAAATCCTTCAAAGCCTTCCGCCCATCTTGTGAATCTGTAAGCACATAAATAATAATAGCTATAATGTTTTGAGGAAGATAGTGGAGTAATGCTGTCGACGCTTATGTGGGTAACACGCTAAGTTCTAGGCGAGTTTTCAAGGAAATCTCCGTCAAGCCACGCGGCTGCTATACTGCACTACGCAACAATGCTATTGTGTAAAGATAGACTTAACATAGTAAAAGGTTATAACTTTTGGAAAAAATTATATATTTCGGATTTTATATTTTGGAGAATTGTAACGGTTTGTTGATACTGATCGTAGCAAAATTTGTTCAGAAACAAATTGATATGCTGAACAAAAATTAAATATATTCGTTGACTTCCACACGAATTCTTAGAGAAATCCTCGACCGTTCTTCAGGTATGGTGAACGTTGAAAGTCGATCAGAACACAAGCTAAAACCACAAATAATAGTCGACTTTAATAGAGGAAAAGCACCTGTTGATTTATGTGACCGAATGAGTGCCTACAATAATCCACTACGCAGGTACCTGAAATGGTATAGAAAGCTAGCATTTGAAATGTTATTGAATGCTACAGTTTTACATAGTTACATTTTATATAAAGATATCACAAAAATGGATATCAGTATTGCTCAATTCCGGAAAAAATTAGGCACTTTACAAGTTGCCGAGAAGAAGCCATTCCATTTGACAGTATTGCAATAGCTTCTAAAAAACAACGGCACAAGCAACAAACAAAATTATGTTATGGCAAAAATGCGACATAATATGATAGAGCAATGGCTGGAAAAATTACACATAAAAGTAATCACATTTCGCGGTAACTACGAAGGACGACCGTTTTTTTATTGTCCGTGTTTCAATAAAATGCATTAATGATATAATCGTGTAGTAAATTAAAATAAACTAAATTTTAAATACATTTTCAATAATTACTTAAAACAATAAAAATTTATTAGTTTTATATCACATTTTACACTGTCGATACTGGTGGTTGACGTGGTACTCAACGTATCAATACGTTCGTCAGGGATCTCGATATTACCAACAGGCGATTTGAAATGTCCCCCAATTTTTGATTTTGGCAGGGTAAGCAAAATTTAACTCATTTTACTATGTCTGCCTCCGGCCACAGGAATCGTTCAGTAATCATTTTAATTGAAGATTTTGAACCAGATCTTTGTGCAATTTTTGTATCACAAATGCATGAATAACAAGTGTAGAGAAATCACAAACAAGCTCTAAATTTGAATTTGGTAATTTGGTTTTCTTCAAGACAAGTCTTTGTAACGAGGCCTGATGTAAATTTTTTAGTTACTATTCAGAATTTCTTGCCACTGATTCGTAATCTGGATTTGGTAACAAACCTTTTCATATTATTAAATATTGTATGAAAGGTAGTTCATTCCCGATTTAGCACTTTGCACCGTTTATTGTCAAATCATAAGGTCTTGATCAACTGAAGCGCCTTAACCATCTAAGCTCTTCCTAACTAAAATCGTAAATGTAGACATAAGAAACTTCGAGGCCTCGAAGGCCTCGGAGGATTTCCCGCATAAACCGTTGAAATGTTGGTGCGGCATTACACAAACAAAATATCGAAATGTTTATAAATCAAGCGGAAAGTGTTGTTGTTTAATTGTTCGTCTGAGTAATCAATGTTCCGCCGTCGGGCCACCAGTTCAGTGTTGTCAATTTTATTGTTTGTCGAGAACAACGACGCCACAGGCACTCACTATGTAATTTTCGTATTTGACATTAATTACAAATACTTTCTGACAGGTTGAACTTTTTCTCCTGTCGAGTAATTGCCAGCAAAAATAATTGAGGATTTATGAGTCCATATAATTGATAAAAGAAAATTTATATTTTCTAAGTCTTGAACCTAATATATTTTATCAATTTTTTAAAATTCGATTATCATCTCATAAATATAGTGACTATGAATATTTTGTCATGAGGGTTAGTGGCTTGTAATATTTGCGAGAATTACGAACAAGAATGCCAAATATGTTAAATGAAGTGCAGTGCGCAAAAAAATTTTTGAAAAAACAATTTCAAAATAAGAGAAAACAGCTTGGATTAATTTTAGATGCAAGCCTTACCGATGTATTTATTTGCTTCGTTAAGATCGTGCTTTGATATAAGATTATTGGCATTTTGCGGAACGTTTGTTAAGCAATTAGCAAATCATCACATGGAAATTCGTCAAATTATCTCTATTATTAACTAGCTTGTTCTGCAAAATTGTTCAAATAATTCAATAGTGAAGACGTGTTCTCTTTGTAAGCATCAATTAAATTAATTAGTTTATTTGGTTCTCGAGGTATTTGCATATTTACGCTCTCAGCATAATCTTTTTTCTTTTAATTTCGTCTAAAGACAATCCATCAAAAGTAGCTTTCGTGATAAAGCTAAACCTTCACGTTTCAAAGACCTGCAAACTACACGGTTTCAAGTTGAACCGCAACGTGATGATTCGGATTCAAACGACTCAAACGACGATCGTGAATTGTTGGATAATGAATACGATACCAAATATGGTAAAAGTTTCAGGTAAATTATTTTTACGTTTTTTAAAAAACAGAGCAACTGTTATTATGTTGAAATGTTTTAATTAATTTAGACACTTTACAAGGGAAGCCTTACCCCGTTTAGATAATTATAGAAATATTATGTCAATACAAGCTGCCTACCGTCCTACATTGGATGAATTGCATAATCCTACACTTACAGGAAAGGTAAGCATCACATTAAAAAAACGAGAAAAATCCCTCAAACTTGGATAGTTTAATTGCTTAACAGGAGCCATGTAACAATCAGGCAATCATTTTTAGTTTAGGCTGCAATACGGGACTTTATCCGTTGAATAGTGGCGTAATTACAAACTTCAGGTGTTGACTGCTTATATGTTGTCTACCTAAAAACCAACGTTTCCTTTCCGATCGCGATAACATCTGCTGTTTCAACCTTCCTGTTAGTTGACGACACGTCTTGTTTCATGTCTTTTTCTAATTTGAAGCAAAAAAAGAAAAAATGAAAATAGAATTGAGCGATGAAAGGTGCTTTGTTCGGTGGGAAAAAAGAAATTCGTAAGTTGAAGCGATATTTTTGTGTAATATCAATAACTGCCGGCAACAGAGATATTTTTTTTTTATTGCGTCGATAACACGTCCGCATTTTTTTTATGTTTGGCTTTCTTCCCATAAAAATTGTTGGTCAAAGGAAACCGTAAATAGAGCACGGTGTAGATGTGCTCTCCTGGACAAATCCATAACTTTTTGAGTTTGGCGTTGTTCTAGTAGATTCACTTTCCATCGCCAGTCACAACACGCCACAGAAAACTCTTCTCCTTTTTCATTGGCAAGCAATTTCAATGGTTGAAATGTTCCTTTCTTTTGAATTTTTTCCACCGCATGTAATGGTCTAGAAACAGTTGATTCATCAATTGCGAAGCTGTTCGAAAGTTTCTGGCGACTTTGAGCTGGATTTTCATCCAGTAAGTCTTGCAATTCATTGTCTTCGACATTTTTTTATTATTCCAGACAATTTTTTGTAATCGGCACCAAAATCATTATTTTTAAATCCTTGAAACCAATACTGACAATTGAGATATGGCGGGGCAACATCACCATAAGCTTCTGAAAGTATTTAATGGGCTTCGGAAGCAGAGCTCTTTCAATCAAACAACAGAAGTGATGAATGATGAAAATACAATTTTAAACGTTTCATGATTAGCGTCTGTATACACTGTATACCTCTATAATGCCAAATTGAAAACTATTATTTTAAGTAAAGAAAGGTCAAAATCGTTGAATTTAATCGTTATGTTCACTGGTGTTTCTCATTTCTTTAGCACTTCTACCTGGAGATGTCGCTGTCCGAAATTATTGCAAGCACCTAATATATCCACTTAATTTCAACTGTGACATTCGTCGTAGAACAAACCTTTATGTAATATATCAATATTTTACTGTCACCAAATACCGCATTAAAGGCTAGTGCTACTACTTGATCGATTACGACGATTTTTATACGTGTCTTTTAATTTACCATGGTAAATATTTTACACTAGATTCTATTTTAACATAACTCATACGTCTAAAGTTAAATTTTGTCCTCTTGAACGGTTGCACTGAAGTCTAGACCAGGAGTTAGTATGAATTGTGAGCTATGTCTATTAAGTGCAAGTTGATGAATGAGTCCGTTTTTAACCCTAAGTTGTGGCTTTCGACTAATTTTGTGTGCGCCAAGCTTCAGCTTTCTTTCTTAATTTTTTCGACACACGAAAAGAAGGCAATGCACAATCATAGAGAAACATATTTAAATCGAATTTTATACTCATGGAAGATGGGTATGCTCTACAAGGCCAATTTCTGAGTGTTACAAACCAAAGCGTAAATGTGATATGAAAGTCAGCTAAAACAATCTGTTTACCCGCCATATTGGAATGATCTTAACTTTCCTTTTTTTTTTATTTATTCATTTACTTACACATGAAAATCAACTACAATAAATCTCTGAATAAGTTTCTGCAAACAAATCTGAACGGTTTGAACAGCTCATAATTATATTTACATTGGTTAAACTTAATAAAAATAAACTGCCTAGAGAAGCGGTTAGGCACATTAAAGATTATCTTACCAAGTGATGTGAGCGAATCGATAGTACCATTTACTAATTTAATTAGAGACGGAAACACCAAAAGTAAATCTACCTTTCTCACATGATAGTAAACAGAACAGAAGCAATCTATTTTCATAAAAAGATAGAGAGACGAGTGGGTCTCGATTCAAATTCCTAAGCGCAAACAGCAAGAATTGCTCCTGAACGAATTTAATAGAATCTACATAACACCTATAGGAACGAGACCACACCACAGAGGCACACTCAGTTATTGCTGTAACTAAGCACATGTATAACCTGTTTTTTTTTTGGAGCCTTAAGCTCTTTGGATCATCATCTCTTAATGAAATCTAGCGCAAAATTAGCTTTACTTAAAGAGAGTTCAATATGCAAATTAAAACGGAATCTTTGGTTATTCTTTTCATTATGTTTTCATATGACAAGGAAATATTCTTTGACAGCAAATCTAGAATATAGTATGTTATATATTCAACGTGCAGATTAGTATGGGCGCATTACCGGAATGCCATTTTTCTGTTGCTTAAAATATAGGGAATGATAATGCATATATGAAATTATATCCGTGCGAAATAGATTACTGGTGTGTACTTCCGTAGAAACAGTGTTATCGTATATGTTTATTTGTAATTACGCAATTTGTTCATAATAGAGAGGTAGCTAGAAGAGGTTTGGTTGCATAAAGTTCAAAAATGTTTCAGTCCGATTGCGAAGATGTTTTCAAAAGTTTCATTTTTATCTTTTGAACAATCTGCAAGCTACAATAGGAATCGATCTGAAAACTTTTCTACATATATTTCCTATAACAAGACAAAAATGTTGTTCAAGAATTGTTGACTGGCCTATCATCTTTCTTTTAATTGACAGTAAAATTGGAGCAATTCATTTTTCTTAGACCGCAGAGCATTAAGAAAAGTGAAAACTTTTTTACTCAAAATTTTCCGAAGCATTTTTGCAACGCGTGTACTTTACTGTTGGCTAGAGAAAAAGGAAGAAATGCTGTTCTCATTTTCAAATAAGCATTGGAGATATTATAACGTTTAATATGGTAAAGTGAAAGTCCGTTCTTTGCGATTTTTCGTATTGGTCCAAATACTTTTGGGATTAAGTTCCTACCTCTGGCTTATGGTTTTTAGGATAGCTTAGTATTTACAATTCTTAGAAAATACATTGACAAATGATCTATTTACAGAACTTATATTTACAATGTTTTAGTGCTTTTTGTCATTGTATCCGTTTGAATTTCATGATTCAAATCTTTTGACTCGACTTTGTTTGTCGTCCTTAAATGCTTCACGTATTTACGCTTTTAAAAATCAGTCATGTTTTTGTAACATTTTCATGTTTTTCCCTTTTGTTTGCTAAATGTCCTGCGAATTGTCTTTCATCTTGCCGGCAATAAAGATGCGGAAAGCATCATGACTCTGTAATTGATTTTCACATTTTAGGCATTCTGTACCTTAAGAAATCAGATACTCCTTTCCTCATTTATGATTTTCGTAACCATATTGATACGTAAAGTGCTTTTTTCAATATCATGCGTTTTCTCAAAATTCCTCATAGTAGATTCGTAGCACTTAACTATTTACGAAGAAATTATTTGCAGAGGTTACAATTTTACTTTTGAAAACACTTCATTTTCTTCAGCCCATTTAATCGGCTTGTTTCCTCGAATGTTACAATTCGATTTTTCTCACCTTCAGAAAATTTTCTATTTACAAGACTTATTAGAACCAGCCATCAATACTAGATCTCTGATATTTTTGTTAATCCTTTCACCTATTGGATTTTCTCAATATTTTGCGAAATTTTGCTTTCTATGAAATTAGGCAGTTTTCACTAAGACTAATTTTAACAAACGTCTGATTTTCGCAACAATATTTTCAATCAACCCCTAGACATTTACGTCTGCCGTTTGGATTTTACAAATCTCATAATTCAACATTTAATATAAAAGACTGCGAAAGTTAATATAAAATAGGTGATATATACCATATATTGTTAGTAAAATTTCCCAAATTGAGTTTTGAAGTAAATATGACCACCAATGGTTATATTCCGCGGTTCGGAATAAAGCCCTGGACATCAATACAATGTTTTTAAGACCTAAGCGTTTATGCTTACAGTAAAAAGTTGTGTAAAATCGGTCTTCAATGCTATCTAATACTTCCACAATCAAAAAAAAAACCTTAAGACGTCTTCAACCCCCGACTATAGTTGAAAGTCAAATTCCAAGAGCTCGCCTGCATGTGAAAATAGTTTTTCCTTCCGTTTTCAGTAATCTGCACGCGTTCTTTTTTAAAAACTAACTTCAATAACAGTGTATCCTTTCCATAGAATACTCATAGTTTAAACCGCCGCAATTCCGATCTGGATGCTCCAAATAGCATGTTGAATGGTATGATTAAATTTGGCTGGATTAAGGGTGTACTAGTGCGTTGCCTGCTTAATATATGGGGCGTTATGCTATTTTTACGTCTTAGTTGGGTTGTTGGACAAGCTGGTATTCTCGAGGCTTTTGTGTTAATACTGACCACGACAGTTGTTACCAGTATTACAGCATTGTCAATGTCAGCGATTAGTACGAATGGCGTCATCAAAGGAGGTAAGTACATAATTACGAAGTTACGTTATTGATATCCAATAGAATTTTTGAAAAGTTCGAACTTTCGTTTGATTGCCTTGGGGCAATAATCTTTACTTCCTTTGATCTTTTAAATTATTAAACTATGGTACTTAATCATAAAATAGCATACGCGTTAACAAATTACAAATTATCCAAATTGTTTACCAAACTCCGCGTTCAAATCAGGAAACTTTATGTGCATTTACGCTTATTTGCGCGCTCTTACACAATCGTATTAAGCGAACAGCGAGGAGGATTATTTCACCTAAGGATCTATGAACATTCAATTTCGCATGGCTTGAAGAACCAAGAAAATCATTATCCATTTTAAGACAATTGATGATTTTTATTCCACGTTGCTTCTAACAACGAAAACCAATTTTGGCTTGGTCGCGTACTAGCCACCTTTGTCTACCGTGTCTGCCGTGCGAAATCTCACATAAACCACGCAGTCCCATTCTCATTCAATACGTCGTTGTAAGTGACTAATTCCTTTAAGGCATTAGACCGTTACAGTCAAAAGTAATCCTTACCACACAGTAACTGTCAGCAAGTTTGTAAATTATTATATAATAAATCATTGGTACCCATCCGAGTTTCAACAACGTTAACGTTACTCATAATCGTCGAAAATATCGAGGTGTTGAAGGAAAACCTGACGAATTGCTCTATTAAAGGAAAAAACCTCAATTACTGCTTTTCTATCTTGCGGAACTTTTTATATCTAATGCAATATCAACCAACTATTTTTGGGATATCCTCTGTGGGGAAAACCACGGTGATAATTTCAAAAACATATTAGGCAGAGTAGAGGAGAAATAGGGAGTATAGTTTCAATAAGACTTAAATGTGACGAAAAGGGGAGAAATTTTTGCAAAGGGCGCCAACGTGATGTGAGAACAAATTCCAAGAAGAACACCAGGAAAACCGAATGGAACTATTAAAGATCTTACATAAGTACGTTATAGTCGGCATTACGTTTATGCTCAAGTGCGTCCAGAACTACAGAACTACAAAGTGCATACACTGTCCTCACCTACGAGCAGCTGAGCTTTCCCGTGCATTTAGATAAAAATCTCCGAATTAGGTCAGATTTAATCATCTTAGCAAGTGAAGATCTTGTATAAGTTCAAGGAAAAAGTTATGTTAGGAATATTTTATTCACAATTTTTTTTAATAAATACGAGTTATATACCTTCGATACGTGGCTGCACAAGAAGGTAGGTATCCCGAAACGGAAAATTATGTAAATCTTAAAAAAGTAATGCCAAAATCTTATACCGACAGGAATTCTGCAGATTTCTGTATTATTGTCATACATATATCTGTATATACATACATATTTTTAGGCGGGACCTATTATATGATATCGCGTTCCTTGGGGCCAGAATTTGGAGGTTCTATTGGCTTAATATTCTCGTTGGCTAATGCTGTAGCGTGTGCAATGTATGTTGTGGGCTTTTGCGAATCAATGTCAGATTTATTGCGTTCATTTGATGTTAACATTGTCGACGGCGGTATTCAAGACGTCCGCATTATTGGCAGCGTTACCATATTGATATTGCTAGTGATTGTGGTAGTTGGCATGGAATGGGAGGCTAAGGTATACAACTTCTTATATTATGCTATCATAAGTTTGGCTTTGACATGATTCGTTGTGCATTTATAGGCGCAAATTGGCTTGTTAATTATATTGCTGGTAGCTATCGCGGATTTCATGATTGGCAGTTTAATTGGACCGAAAAGTGAATTGGAACGTTCTAAAGGCTTTCTTGGTTATAACGGTAATACGAAAATTATTGTAACCTACACCACTTAAGGGTATATTAAGTTTACGGGGATGTATACAATGCCCAGAATTTGAATCGATTTAAACCCAGTGATTTCGAATAGATTTAAACTTGCCTGTCTGTCCGTGTTCTTATTTTGAAATTGGTACATCGATGGGTTTGGTCTCAAGGAGCAGTACTGAAAATGGTTTGGATCGAATCAGTTGTCATATAACACCGTATTTTGAAGGATCGTTATATGAGTAATTGCATTAAGCGAGGTGGTGTAGGATGGACCGTGGCTGTAAGATTCTTTCTTGCTTTTTGGTTATTGTTATTATTTTATTTCGTTCTATCTGAAAATTTATTTTTTCAGTGACTTTGTTTAAAAATAACTTTTTTGCTGACTATCGCTTGGAAAAAGGAATACAACATGATTTTTTTTCGGTTTTTGCTATATTCTTTCCGGCTGCTACTGGCATTTTGGCTGGCGCCAATATATCTGGAGATTTAAAGGTTAAACTCATTTAGTTCTTCTCATTTTCGATTCGAACACTGACTTCGTGAATGATCTTTTGTTAGGATCCTCAAAAATCTATACCTAAGGGAACTCTATTAGCCATATTTATTACAACAGCTACTTATTTGATTATGGTTTTGATGGCCGGCGCTGCTGTTGCCCGTGATGCCACCGGCAATACAACCGATGCCTTTAATAGTTCGTACGAATTCCTAATTTGCACTCCAGGTAGTTTATGTTGTTAAATTTTACAAGCTTTCATATATTAATGCTCGCCTATCGCAGGTGAGTGCAACTATGGTTTGCAAAACTCATTTCAAGTTATCGAATTGGTGTCTGGTTTTGGTCCACTTATTTACGCTGGCTGTTTTGCTGCCACGCTTTCCTCAGCTTTGGCTAGCTTGGTGTCGGCTCCTAAAGTTTTTCAGGTACGTTTTGCAAAACAAAATCAGCATTATCACGTTATTTATTAGGTCTTTAAAATGATTTTAATCGCAAAGGCTCTTTGTAAAGATCAACTATATCCGAAAATTGTTTGGTTCGCTAAAGGTTTTGGTAAAAATAACGAGCCAGTACGAGGTTATGTGCTAACATTTATTATTGCAGTGGCGTAAGTGTTGTTTTTCTTCTTTAGTGGAAAGAAATAATTTTAATTTCTGCTTATTTATCGTTTCAGTTTTATTTTAATTGGTGAACTGAACCTTATAGCACCACTGATATCTAATTTCTTTTTGGCCGCTTATATGTTAATTAATTTTAGCACATTTCATGCCAGCCTAGCCAAGCCAGTTGGTTGGCGACCCACGTTTAAGGTATGCAAGCTATCGTAAATTAACCGCATTTTTTATTTTGTTGCTATCTTTCAATTTAACTTTTTTTATGTATAGTATTACAATATGTGGTTAAGCCTTGTGGGTGCCATATTGTGCGTGGCTGTCATGTTCCTAATATCATGGGCTACGGCTTTAATTACGTTCGCTGTAGTATTGGCTCTGTACTTAATCGTTGCTTATCGCAAGCCAGATGTTAATTGGGGTTCCACCACTCAAGCACAAACATATAAAAACGCTTTAATATCAGTGCAACAGCTGAACAATGTAGAAGAGCACGTTAAAAATTATCGGCCGCAAATTTTAGTACTATCTGGTTTACCAAATACGCGTCCTATACTAGTGGATTTTGCCTATATGCTAACAAAAAACTTATCACTTTTAGTATGCGGTCATGTATTGCGTGGTTCGAATGCTCAACGATATCGAAGTTATTTACAAGAACGAGCAACTGCTTGGTTTCGCAGACATCGTGTCAAAGGTTTCTATTCGCTGGTTGATGGTGAAGACTTTGAATCTGGCTCGAGAGCTTTAATGATGGTAAGTGCCTAAAACGCAAATGGAAATCTCCTTCAATATATATGCCGACGTTTATTGCTGATTATAAAATGGTTAATAGTGAAGAATTTTCATTAACATGCGCTACTTACCTATCTTCATCTTTAATTACTCGATTTTTTTCTTTTTCGGATTGGAACGTTTCCTTAATACCCTATACTGAGTATATTATACTTTCTTAAGTTTGTCAAAAGTTACCATTTTTTTGGTTCATAGACAAAAAAATGCATCAAAAATTTCATTTCATACAAGTGTTCATTGCCCTGGCATGACAAGATGCGTTATATCCGATTACTAATTTGGTTTCAATATCTAATTTGGTTGTTTCTGAATACCACGTTTTTGAAGGGTAGAGCTCTCTAAAATATAATTGTGCGCCTGGATTTTTCAAAGATTTTTAACAAGTCCTTGAGCTTAGGTGCTTTCCCTTTACTTTGGAAGACTTGTTTCCTTATTCCTATTCACAAAAGTGGAAGGAGACAACTTGTAGAGAACTACAGAGGCATTGCCAAGTTGAGTGTCTTGTCTAAACTGTTCGAGCGAGTGGTGACTCAGCATATGGCCTTTGCCATCAAATCGTATGTTTCTCCTCTCCAACATGGCTTTCGAAAAGGAAGATCTACCAAACTGTTAGAGTTTACTTCTCATGTTTTCAAGGCTGCTTCTATTGGCTCTCGCACTGATGTCATATACATTGATTCTAGCAAAGCGTTTGATATGATTAACCATAACTTACTTATCTTTAAACTCCAAGCCCCTTGCTTTCCTTTCTATTTATTGAAATGGTTAAGCTCTTATCTGCGCAATAGATCATTCAGGGTTTCGTTTAACTTCATTACCTTGGATAAATTTTCCGTGACGTCTGGCGGCGTACCTCAAGGCAGCCACTTAGGACCCATTTTATTTAATTTATACATTAATGATTTGCTCTCGGTGATTAAATCGAGCGAGATTTTAATGTGATGTGCGTGATCATGTGAAACTGTTTTCTTCCATTTCCGTAAAATCCTAATCACATCAGCTTCAAAGTGGCTTGAATAATTTGGTTGCATGATGTTCTTTGAACCTTCTCAAATTATAAATAAATGTAAGAAGCTTTCTTTCTCAAGAAAGAAGTCATTCATTACTCAGTATTTCATTGATTCGCACAAGTTGGAGGACGTCGTTTTGTTCACAGATCTAGGCGTACTATTTGACCATAGCTTACGTTTTAACTTGCATATTGAGCTCTCGTTAAGCAAAGTTAGGTCCGCGCTTGGTTTTTTAAGGAGGTGGCCCAAAGAGCTTGATGATCCTTATATTACGAAAAGGCTGTAAATGTGTTTGGTTAGACCTATACTTGAGTATGCCTCTGTTGTGTGGTCGCAGAAATCTAAATGATGTCTATCACTTATTCTCATTATCAGACTCTTTAAAGTCTATTAAAGCAACTTTGCTTAATATGCGCGGTTTACCTATGTCGTACTTAAATTAACATTTCATTCTTAATATCTTAATTTTCATTTAAAATAATATTGTGTTGTTAACGTGTTGGTTGTCAAGCTTATTGTGTTTGCAATGGTTTAGGGGTTCACTTGCAACCTGGATCAGTTCGTGTTGCGGTTGTGCTTCTGTGCTAGCTGTGTACTTGTTTTTTTTTTTATTTTTTTATGTTTCTTTCTCTCTTTTTATTTATTTGTACATGAACTTTTATTTTTAACTTTTTAGTTTATTTTTAAACTTACTTTGTTATTATTATTCTTCTTTTTTCTTCCTTTTCATTGTATACTAGTTTTAAAATAATTAGTATAAGATTTTCTCTTAGGATGCACTGAATTCGACTGCAATTTTCTTTTTATGAATTTCATGTATAAATGGGTAAAATAAAAAAAAAAATATAAAAAAAAAATACCCCACACCACCCATATTACATTAAATACCCTGTACCACTCTACAGTTTTTCATTCAACAACACTTCAAAATAAGCCTTTATATGGGAAGTGGTTAGAAAGATGCGCCGATCTGAACCATTCTTAATATTGTTCGCTCTTGATGTAAAACTAACTATCAAATTTCTCCAAAATATCTCAAAAATTATGGCTTGTAGATTAAACAAAAGAAAACAAGATGGACAAACGGGTAAGCAAGCCCGTCTATTTCAAGTTCTTTTGAGTGTTGCATAAAAAAAACAAATGAATGGCGATATCTAAGAGTTTTACGAAATTTTGTGTCGAGAAAAAAAAAAATTGTGAAAAATTTTTTTATTTTAAAAAGTTTAGCATCAGACAACAGCATAAAGGACTAGATCCCCAGTAACGGGATTGATGTAACGTCGATGGATATATTAAAACACTTCTGAAAACGTAGATATTTAAACGTGGAAATAACATGAATTTGCGGAAATTTTATAAAGACTAGCTGTTAGTAAGCATTTGTTAAGGGTTATACTTGGGATGAATTTGTAATGAATCGAATTTGAAAGGGAAGGTGTAACAGTCTGGACATTTTATCTAATCTGCTCCTGAGAAAAATCTTTAATGAATTTTCATTGTACAAATTTGCTTTGCTTGAGGGCATGGGCAGTTAAAATATGGAACTGCTACCTTCGGCTTAGCTAAAGAATGTAAAGTCAGCTTTGTCATTAAAAACTTGTAAAGATAAACACTTTGTCTTAACACTTTCAATCGCTAAAACCGATTAATTATTTTAATTCCACTGTAGGCTTCTGGTATTGGAAAACTAAAACCAAATATATTATTAATGGGCTACAAGTCGGATTGGTCGACTTGCGACCGCAAAGATTTAATTCAATATTTCAATGTAATGCATAAGGTAAATTAAATATAAATACAAGTAGTAGAAACGAGAAAGATTTAACATATGAATGAATTTATAGGCATTGGATATGTACTTATCTGTGGCTATCCTACGCATACCGAATGGGTTGGACTATTCACAGATATTGGGCGATGAATGTTCGGCGCAGAAAAGCGTTTTTGATATATCACGTAGTCTGCAGCCCAACGAAAGTATAGCCGATCTGAATTCGGTTGAACGTGGTGCACAAATTGGCTTAAGCGGTAGTATGGACTCCTTAAGTCGCAATTTATCCCAAGGTATGTTTATTTTTTATATGTTTATAAACGATGGTTAAAAATTATTTACACCGTTCACTACTGTACTTTTGTTCGATTAGATTATTACTTATTAAATCTTCTTCTTTTATATTTAAAGGGAAAAATTCACCCAAACTAATTACAATAATTAAAATAACCAGTTGTTCATAATTTAATTGAAAAAAAAAACTATCGAAAGTATTTAAGAAAGTTAACGAAGTGTTAACGAAAGCATACGATATCGATCATTGTAGTGTTTGGTTAAATGTCCATGTGTGCGTGGCCAATGACTCAATCAGGATCATTCTCATAATATATGAAGATTCGTTCTAGAATTTGTAACTACTTCACATTATGAAACGCAATAATTAAATTTTTTAAATTGTTGCATTTTTTTAATAATTGACAACCCATGGGCTAATTTTCAATATCGATATGTGAAATTAAATAATGAATATATACTTTGCAGTCTTAGACACGAACGTGTACTGCCAATGTATTCAGGATGGCTGTCGAAACACATTGTCCTACAAATTTTTAATACTATTTGATATATTAAGAAATTAGCGTGAAGTTTTAGGCGCTTGCATTAATGTTGATTAACGATTTCCATAGGTAAAAGTGATAAAGTAGCGCCAAACACCGGTGTACACGTTAAATTCAGTGATTTTGACCTTTCTCTACATAAAATAGTAGTTTTCCGTGAAATACTATTGAGCTATTCATTGTATAAAGATGGTAATCATGGAACCCTTAAAACTGCATTTTTGACATTCATCACTTTCATTCGCTTTCGCTGCTTGCCAGACAAAAAAATAAGAGCTTTTTGCGGCGTATTGTGACTGGCGAATAGAAGTAGATCTACTATTATAATCCCAAGCCCAAAAAGTCATGCATTGGCTCAGGAGAGCCATCCATATCAACACTCAAGGGGAATACTTATGGTCACAAAGTTTTGCTATGCACATGGTACGATCAGCAAGCTAGTGTATTATAAACCGCTAAAAACATAAAAACTCTTACTGCAGATGTCTACCGGCATCAATCGAATATATTAGACGATGTACTGTTGGGAGAAAATATCAGCAATAGCGGTAAGAATGGCTATCGTACGAATTGACTGAAAATTCCATTTTGGCCATTTGTGGCGAGGGTTGTCAAAGATATATGACATCATGTAGTGTATCATATTTAACAGTCTGTACCTAACCTTCTAAATGATCTAAAGTTAGTTTCAAAAAAGACATGGAAAATTTTTACAGCTTAGTAGATTGATATTATTATTCTATTTATTTGTTGATCATAACGTGAATTTCAACCAATATAAGTATCCTGTCGTTATACATTGCTGACATCACCAACTTATTCCTAAATATAAAAATTAGAGAAACATTAAGCCTTCCCCGCTGAAATGTTGAAAGTGGCGAAACGCCACATTGACCACATTTTAAGGAAGAGAGGGATACTAATTCTCGTATTTTTTCGAAGAAATTTGTAGCATGTGGCAGAATCCTTGCCACCTACTCAAACAACCTATGTTGATATCATTTAAGTCACATAGAAATGAGTACGAAACTTTTCAATATTTGAGCCTAGGATCTCTAAGTTTTGCCGATTCTCTGAAAGCCGGTATAATAGCCTGCAATCTAAACTCGAAGATATTTCGCAGACTAATGTGTGCAGCTCACCTATAGTTAGCCTTTACAGTCCAACAGTACAGTTTTTATCACTCCTTCGCATAGACTATTAAAATGCGCAGATCTTGCGGGAAGAAATTTCTGTTCAATTCCGTCGTCAGGACACTGCTGGTGGAATATTTGCAAATGAGACAGTCTTAAAAACAGGGGTTTTAATTTTGCTAATACCTGATGCACGTGAAATTTATAGCATTGTCTGACCAGGTTATTTTGGCTTTCCTATGATTCAGACGAAACGCTCTACAGCAGTTAAAAATGTGTAGATATGCCAGGAACAACTTTTAAGTAAGAAGTCTGTGTTGATAAACGAACAAGAATGAAAATGTAGTTTTTTATTCACCATTTCTCATATCCGACTTGTAGTGAAATTGCTTGCGGTAATGCGAAAAGTTTTGTTAGGGTGTATGCAATTACGAGGAAAATTATTGATGATATGTTGAGTCATTTTGGTTTTAGACAGAAACACTGGACGCATATCGAGATTATGCTGTTGAAAGCTTTTCACCCACCAAGGGTTGAATATTGTTGCAGGATTGTGGCATGGTACTGCATGATAGCGCGTGAATAGCGCCTTACTAAACGAATGACTTTTTGGTAATTTGATGGAATATCGAGTATTAAAGTCCAAAGTTGAGTTTTCAAATGTCCCACAAATTATATTTGATCAGTCAATAAATGGCGCAAGGAAATGAAGGTTACTTGTTACCTATATTGTTGTTTGCTCTTTTTTCTGCTGCAAAATGTATCTGCGAATCAACAGAACATCAAACTAAATGGCGTGTAAGGACCAGGACTTCGTGCAAATTTCAAAACTAAACATATGAACTTGTTCAAAAATGCATTGCATTTTTCAAAACGAAGTATAGTATTGGCAACCAATTGTACAACGAAGCGGTTGATAAAATGGTAAAATCGGATCCATTTTCCCAAATATTCGAACATAGAAGTATATCCGGATATATCCCCACGCAATTCTAGCCGATTTTCCTGAGATATCTCACGGTCGAATTTGATGTCTGCACTTGTAGCAGAACGAGCTTCATTATATTTGCTTTCCACTTTCCAAAAAGATTTAACGAGCATATTTTCTTTATGCTTAATGGAATTGACGTTTACAGTTAATAACCATGAATTTCAAGTAGGAAATCCATCACCGATGACTGTTCATCCACCAAGCCAGCCGGTATCGCTTAGAACGTCTACACGTTTGTATAATAAGGAATCTATTTTTTTTTTTTTTTTTTTTTTTTTTTTTGTTTGTTTAGAGATGGATTGGACCAGTTAAGTTAATGTTAGATCCATAATCCAGAAACGAAGTTGAGAGCGATTGATGAAAAAATTTAAGCATAGGTAGACTGATGTGGCAGAGTGTTCGCAATGAGAGGCTCTGTTCCGCTGTCAATCCATAAATCACCGTCCTTGTTACTGTACTGTCAAGATCCGGCTAATAATGCCGATAAAAGAAAAAGTGTAGGCGATTCGTGATTGTAATAGAAATACTAAATGTAAAATTAGAATGAAAACTCAGCTGATTTGATAAAGGCAGTCAGTTGCTTCAAATGCCTAAAGTTACCAGCACGAAAAATTTCATATAGATTGTTATACAGGTTAAATATACTGAAAGATTGTCTAAGGATGTCAAACCTCCTGCACTCAAAAATAAGGTGCTCGGCAGACTCAGTAATATTGCAATCCTCACAGATGTCAGAGGAGGAGACTTTGATCATTTTAAAATAGACCTTGTCGTAGGTGTGATTACTCATAAGACGGTGAAGAACTTTAAATTCCCATGTTGTGAATTTTCCTTTAGGTAGAAGCGTGGGTGTCAAAAAAGGGTAAATTTTGTAGAACAGCCGGTCACTTTTTTCTCTAGCTTAAACATGATACCCATCTTTCCATTCTTTTATGATGAGTTTTTTGACTAGCAGAAAAGCTTCGCTGGGGGGGTAGTTTATGGACAAAACTGTACCATCGAACCTAGCTTGACGAGCATGGAAGTCAGCTTTTGCATTGATACTAAAACCGCAGTGACCTGGGATCCAGATGATGTGGCAAATTTCAATACTTGTGTCTTTTAAAAGGTTGTAGATATCGAAGACATACTTATTGAATGGGTCTTTGTTCTTGATTAAAATTAGAGCAGATTTGCTGTCAGAGAAAACTACAAATTTTTTCAGCTTAATTTCAGATGCGTGGATGATTGCTTGTCTGATGGCCAGAAGTTCAATGAAAGTGGATGATAGTTCTTGTAGAACTTTAAATTTTCCTATAAGTAAGTTTGGGTATTCAATAATTGAAAAACTAGAGATGTCCGAATTGATAGATCCATCCGTTGCGTATATTTTGAAGTTATTTTCGACGAAGTGGTTAAGTTTTTGCAGACAAGCGATTCGAAGACAAGACCCTGATCGATTTTTTTTTGAGTTGGTGATTGAATTAAGTAAGTTTAATTCAACTACGCATTTATCATGAATAATATTATTCCAGGAGGGTATTGAGTTAACTTTATTGAAGATGTTACTGAATTTTTTGAAGCAGTTAGAGTAACTACTGATGACATGATTGTGTCTGGAAGCGACCTCGTCAAAGAAGGCAGGTTTGAAGATTTTTATCTTGAGAAGTTCTTTTGCAGTTACAAGATAAATTCTCTTAGCAACGGGGAGTTCATAAGAGATGGAACGTAAAATTGATGTTGGTGTTGAGGGGGACAAACCGGTACAACGTCTTAGGATTGAGTGTTGAAAGGTTTGTATTTTTTTTAATGTATACGCAGGAGCGTTACACGATGTAGAGTAGGGATATTCAATTTTGGATCTAACAATAGATTTGTAAACGTTTAATGCTTTCCTAGGTGGGAGTCCGGTGTGAATGTTGGTCAGAAGTTTGATGACATTTGAGCCTGTGTTGCAATTTTCGAGGCTATCCTTGTAATGCTCATGCGTGGTTAAACTTGAGTTGATTATTCTGCCCAAAAATTTAAAAGAGGAAGACGGACTGATTTTTATACCATTGATTGTAATGTAAAAAATTTTTTTGGGACCCTTAGCAAAGCGAACGACTTTTGATTTTTCCGGGTTGAAAGTTAGATTTAAGCCTGCACAAAGTTTGTGAAAAAGATTGGCTTTAGTGTCCAGGTTACGGACTGCTTCCATTAATGATTTTCCAGCAGTGATGATGAGGAAATCGTCAGCATATTGAAATGGGTAGAATTGTCCTGTAATTGATGTAAACCGGCTGTGTATAAATTGAAGAGAACTGGGCTGAGACAGCTACCTTGAGGTAAGCCTCCACAAACTTCGACTG